AGCTCGACTGGAGCGACCCGGCGGCACCGCCGCCCGTTTTGCCGACACTCGTTTTCCTTCATGGGGCGGGCAAGACACCACTGAGCAACTTCAGCCTCAAAAAAAAAAAAAAAAAGCTCCTGATGCTTTGCAGCGCACGTACATTCCGTTCTTCTATTTTTAAACCTCGCCCTGTTTGGAGCGTCTGTTAAAAAAAAAAAACTTTTTCAAGACTTTGTTCACCTTCTCAAGAGCTCTTTTGCGACGTCTTTTTCATGACCCTCTTGAATTTTTCCCTCCTTGTTGTGACGCAAAAATTTTCTTTTTCGCGGCTTTTCTCCCAAATTCTTTCTCATGTCAGCCGAGTCACGCTCACCCGACGGACCTTTTGCGGCCGCCCCGTTGAGTCTCGTCATCTTTTTTGACCATTTCCGTCACTTGAAGCGTCTGAAACATTTTTCATCTTTTGCACGCGCTAATCAATCCACTTGTCACTTTGTTGTCATTTTCTGGCCAAGTCTTCTCAAACTCGCAGCCCGGGTGACATTTGCAGGGTGAGGTTTTTTTTGGGGGGGGGGGGGGTACATAAAAGGTGGGGGGGGGGGGATACATAACATGAAAGTACAAAGCTATAGAGTGGCCCCCATTTTTTTTCTTTTTAATCGTTTACGAGTTAGCTTCGCTCAGGCTCGTGACAGCTTTGGGCTAATTCTGAGGTGACACCACACGGAAGACAAAGTGATCCCGTCAGCCGGTCCCGAGCCGGCCGGGTCTTTTTCAAAAACCTGCCGCGGCCAGAACAGAAACAGGAGACGGAATGGTTTTTTTTTTGTTGTTGTCGAGGACAGAGCCACCCCGACATGTTTTGAATGCGTCGAGAAAGTTGCGCTCTACGTCTTCAGTCCCACCGGTTGGACTTTTTGGGAATCCTCGAGCAAGACTCGACGCCAAGGCGTTTGGTTGGATGGTGACCGTCGGTCCGTCTGTCTGCCGTCCGCTAGGTCGCTTCCGTCAGATCGAGGTCTTGACCACGGTGGCCAATCAGTTCATCCAGCTTTACGGCCACGTGTCGGGCCAGCCCGTCCAGAACGTCGGCAGCGGCGGCAGCAGAGATCAAGGTAACCCCGGCGACCGCCATCGCCAGCGCACACGACGCCGGCTTATTTTCGGGATGCTGTTGACATCATGGATCACATGAGTTCTAGCGGACGGTTATTCCAGTCTTTAGTGGGGAGGGGCCACCGGTGACAAGCAGAGGCCAAATTGCGAGCGCTCACTGAAATGTCGCCTCGGCCTTCACCGTTTGAGCTTAACTTTGAACCGCGTGACCTCAGCAGGAGGCGAGGTCGTCAAGGACCCCGGGGCGCCCTCGCTTTTCCAGAGGAAGAAATCAGCTCAGAATGTGGCCGACCGTCTGAAGAAGAGCCTGAGCAAGCACAACCTGCTGACGGCGTC